ACCTTCAGTACATCTATCATGGATTTAGTGAATCCGGTTGTGGACCCAATCTTCAGGTTCATGTTGTCACGCAGGTAATTAACAGTGTCAACTGCACCAGTTATCATCTGAGAGTAGTCCAAAATACTGTCAAGTTGCAAAGGAACAAAGTTCTGAAACATTCTTTCCACATCATCCTCATTGGGAAAGCGACCAAACTTTTCAAACCATCTCCTTCGTACAGATTCCATCTCTGTGACCTTACGGATGTGCACCCTTTTGTGCATTCCCATGGGCTCTCTTGCCTCTTCCATTGTGATTGGGACTCCCTCATTTTTAAAGACTTCATTGAACACAACAGCTGGCGAGTAGACGCCGCAATCCAAAACAGTGCCAGACCAGTCCAAGATCACAGCCTTAATCTTTCCTTGGTATTGACGGACCATTCTATACTCAGAGCGAGGATTTTTCAACAGGGCACCTGAGGTAAAGTCAAAGTACATTTCAGGAAGAGAAAGAATAATTTTGTAATGCGTTCCCTTTATTCAAGTACTTTGTACAACAACATTTCCAATACAACCAAAAATTTCATGTGAAGATAACTATATGAAGTAATTCAGGTCTACATGAACTCTTTCAATTTCCTCAAAGTTAGTTTCACACTTTCAGACATACTGTCTTCATTTCATTACCCCTTTTTTATTCTCAAGAATGACAAACATCTTATTTCTCCTCACAATATCCCCCCTGAATCACACATCAAGGTCACAAAAACCAAGGAAATGATTGCCAACTAAAGAAGCTCTCTCAGCACCTTAGGAAAATTATACAAAAAAGTATGGAGAATATGCAAACTGATCAAAGGTTGTCAAGGGTTAAAAAAAGAACCTTCAAACAAAACCATTAAAATTAAACCAGGTATAAAAACGTAATTTTTGCACTAATCTTGATTTGAAGACTCATAAAATTTCTGAGAAAAAAAGTTAACTGGAGCAAACCTTCTGCAGTAATTAATGATGCTTGAAATCTCTGGGTGGTCTTTGAAATATTTTGCTACCAATATCACACAACAAAGAATCAGGCATTTTATGTGCAGAGAAATATCATGAAGACAATAGAAATTTTTCTTAACTAAAAACCACAGAAGCTAAGGTGTCAACTATTCATTTTCTGGTGAGTAACTGTAACATTAAACACTGAGTAAAGTGAATGAAAATCTGTCATGGAACCTCTTTTCTAGTTGAATCTCTTGAGTCTTCACAGCAGAAACACTGATGGTGGCAAAGTGAATTTTTGAGGAACAATATCATTGAATAATAATTTAAGCTTGAAGGCTAGTGTATGAATAAAGTTGTTTTGTGTAGAAGCTTGTGTTTCATCAACAGAAAGAGATCAGGGCATTTAAAACAGCAGGCATTGTTCTATAATAAAAGCTTTCCCATGAAAGAAAGCTAATTCATTGTGTGTCTGCAATGTATTCCACAAGGAAAAAAATAATGCATTGATACCCTGATATCATCATTGTGCATCCTCCCATAGCAACTCTGTTCAATATATTAAAGTTCATTCAAAACAACAATTTCTAACAAATATTTTTCTTGAGTTTTACAATCAGAAAAAAAGCTCAAAAACCAGCTAAATAGTTGCATTTTTGGCAATAAATTGACTCATTTTTGCACCGTGTTACCTCTCCACTAGGAAATACTTCAGTATAACCCCATACTGATCAAAAACAAAGCTGTAGACTCTAAGCACATCTATTGCTCTTGAAAAGGTCTTATTTTCATCCAAGAACTGCATGCATAATAAAGAAATAGACTATGTGGAAATCTTGTCCTCCCCTGCCTTTATTTTTACGAGGAAGAGTGATTACTTGTTTCATAATGAACAGGACAAAGCTAGCCAATGTTGATCAGCTGAGACAGATGTATGTGAAAACGATCTTTATATGAGATAAGAGACCTAAAAAAGTACACTGCACTATTTCTGAATGTATACGATCATTGCCACCCACAAACTTCCCAATGTTATCGACAGGAAATACGTAACAGGAAATATGTAACACCGAGAAAAAAAGCTCACAGAACACGGCACACAGCAAAATCAGCATTCACAACCGGTTTAACTAGTTCTGCCTGAAAATGGACAATGTTTTTCTCTAGGCCACTGCTCTTTTCTCAGCGTCGAATAAACGTTAGAAGCGTCGGATAAAATGTAATCAAATTTGAAAAAAAAGGTTTTTTGGTTACATTAATGATCTTGTTTTCTTCCATTAACAGATGCAAAGTGCATATTAAAGGACTTGGTAAAAGATACGTCTGAGATGACGATCAGTTTGAAAGGACCAAATCGCGACTCAAGCGCCATCGCTTGATACGTGACAGAAAATCTTTTGCTGTTATCAACTGATATGTCAATTAGCTAACGCAAGGAGCTCTCGAGTGTTCGCCCTTCGTGAGAACGAAGAAAAACGTTACAAAAGAACTCAATCGAATTAACACCAAGCTTAAGACTAAAATACAAGTATAGAAAAACTGAAAGTTTTCCTCACCGTTGACCAGTTTCAAATCATGTTCACTAGTGTTCACAGTGGCGTTTGGTGCTTGGGCTTTCGCTTGATGTGCACCACGAACCAAGATGTCGGTCGAATTAACGAGAGGACGAATAATGCGAGACGAAGAAAAGCAAACCTTTCGCATGGTGGACAGCATTCTTTCTCGAGGTGTAGACCGGTTTGTAAAAAATCGTGAGGAATAATCTAGTAACGTGCTTTGACCACCGCGTGTTAAGTCAAGTTTTTACCGCCGGCAAAGTAAAAGACTGACTAACCGGACGTCAACAATGGCCTGTTTACCGCCTTGTCATGTGATGTCCGCGTGTTATTGACTTGATGCGTTATGCTGTCACGCTTGTTTACAAAAAACGACCCCCCCTGCTTAGGAGGTCAATTTCCACAAAACAATATAAATAATAATGAGCTTCACGAATGTTAATGGGGGTATGTTTATTCTTACCTGAAATTAATTTTCAGATCATGGCTTATCACGAGGTCTTATATCAATTTCAGTCAAGTAATTCTTTTTTTTTTTTTTTTTAAGAATTCCAGGTTGACCTTGCATGACTTCCATCCATTTCATTGTCTTGAGGGAACAATTGCTCGGGCGGTTTGCATCAGCTGATTTAAACGCTTTTGTTTTATTCATGAAAGGAGACTGCCTTTCGTGTCATGATATCATGAGGAATATTACACGCAAACGGTGGAAACGCTGGATAAATGCTCCTTAGTAAATGCGATCACGGCTAAGGTCGGCAGGATTTTCGTATTTTTAGTGGATAAAGTTGCGTGAAAGCCCACACATGTAGAAATCAATGGAGGAATAAAAGACGCTATTGAATTAAACAATAGCAAAATAATCAACGTTCTTTCTCTGGGTTGTCAAATTTCCACAATTATCACGTCACTCCAGGGAATTGTCTCCATGAAATTTGTGTTCCCTTACGTAATGGCCAGAACCTTTACGAGGTGGATGAAAGCCATGGAGACCATTCTTCATATGTCATTTTCAGTTGAATTTGTGTAGAACCCCTCTGACGCGGAATTTAAAGTCTTTCGCTAATAATTACGACGGAGCTTGCGTGACATGTAACAAAACACGAATCCTTTCCCTCGCAGCTTGATGTTTCTCCGGAAATTCTTGTCCAGTTTCCCGCAACCAGCTACTTGGAGTTTGAACTCTAATCCACATGTGATCTTGTCGCATGATTTGGATGGGAGAGAATGTCTTGACACTATTAAAATGTCAACGTCAAAAGCTTCTCAGAGTTGAATGTTTGAAGTAAATACACTACTGGTGCGGAGAAATCGATTCGATTAACATCTATTTCTATGCTTCTATATAGAACTAAGGTTTCAAAATGATTTTATATTGGAAGCGGAATATTGCCACCTGGTTTAATCGAAAGAATTGCTTCGTTACTCACTGTCTCTCCGGTAATATTTGGGACAAAAGGAACGCAGGTTTCTGACAACTAGATCGTGGATAGAGAAAGATGTGTTTTCATCTAGTCACGAGCGTGGGACAAAGAAAAAATTCTGAGTCCCAATGAGGAATCGGACCTTTCGGATTCCGCGCTCCGATGCTTTACCAGTGAGCCATAGAGACTCTAGGGTAAGCAAGGCCCATTGCGAAGTTCAAATATGATTGCGGATTTTAGACAAATCGTGGAGGTTCGTCTGTCCCAATTTGGCTTCAGGCTTTCAATCGATCGCAGACTAATGCAATCGAGGCGAAGAGGACATAACGCTTTGGACTGCTAACTCGGAAAGAACCTTTACGTAGCGATGAGCGTTGTATTATAACAGTCACCGAGCGGTCAATAATGAAGCATGTGATCGTCACGCGGCGGTCATGCGTCTATGCCGAGGTGGGGGGAGGGGTAGTAGTCACTTTAGGTTCCAGATGTCGTGAAGTATGAATAGATAAATAACTGTCCTCGGCTTGCAGTTATGCTTGTTTTCACGGTAGCACGTGTTACAAAGCTGCAAAAATCGTTATCGCAAGGGGTTCGCCTCAAAATATGTTCAATGTTGACCTACTGTTTTCTCGCGGGAAACTACATTGATTATCGACAGGAGCCCATCACTTATCGAATATTTCTGCATGATATCCTTTACAAAGAGAAAATCGATGACGTAGGTTATCTTCCATTTCTGACAAACAAGTCAATATAGAGACCACGTGGTACTCGCTCGACTGAACACGGAGATCGACTTTGGAGTCGAGCAGCAAATTTCGAGCCGGGGTTTCTCTTCGACCGAGAGGAAAATATCGCCAAACATAAATAGAACAGATGTAGGAGCATTCACTGATATTGGAGTGGAAGCAGATAAGGAAAGAGCGTGAAGTTCAGGGAGAAGCGATAAAATTTGCTACTTCACACTTAAAGAGTATTTTTTAAATTTCTTCTCATTAAGTAAAACCTTTTGTATTCAGAAGAACAATACATGAATTTTTATTCCTACTCACTAACGCCACTAATTCTCTTAAATGATATTTACAACATAGTATACACGCTCAGCTTCAAACCTTCACGACTTCACATGAGCACTTCCCTTACCGATGGTCTCTGAAAAATATCTTATTTTCTGTGAATACAAGATGATTCCCAAGCAACATCAAACTCACTGGAACAGAAAAAAAAAAGAGATAAATTCCTCCTCAGACACCCAGTAAGAAAGCTTGCTTGGAAGGTGATCTCCGTTCTAAGCCATCGTCGTAGGACATCGCTACAGGATTGTTTAAGGTGGCATTGAATGTTCCCCTGAGCATAGAATGCATCTGTAATGGACTCAGCTGAAGAATGAAAAGGAAAGAAATTAACTCTGCTGCCAATAACTGCTTTTTGGGGAAGATGTATAACAAAGCTACGCTATATTAATACTGAAAATGATGTTCCTATATTTCGAATTGTTTTGTAGAATTAAAAAATTGCCTTTAAAAAGGAGAGAAATAGAAACAAGATTCGTAAAGGCAAAACACAAAAGATTAAAATAAACCAAAAGGTACGTTTACTAAGCTTAACTTTTGAAGGCGCACGAATTTTAAGGCTTTCAAAAGCGTTTGTTTTATCATTGTCACTATTATTATAATAATTTTTTTTTTAGGTTTTTCTTAATTTCCAAATCCATACGCCAAAATCAGACACATACCTCATAGCTCCCTGGGCCTGGATTTTCATTTCTTGATGATTTAAATCTTTGTTCCCTGGTCGTCATTAGACCTCCTCGGGCCGAGTCGTCTTTTAATTCGTATTGGCCCGGCCCTATAAAGATATGAGGATTAATATTAAAGAGCAGTAGTTCTCAATCTTCAAATGGAGGAGAAAAAGATGTTTTGGAAATATCCGTACATTATCCAGCAGACAGGTAATTATAATACTCAAACTTTAAGAAGAAGTTGTTATCTTGATTTAACACCAAATTCTCGTAACTAATGTACTGGGGAATGTGTAGCAACTAGAAGGGAGGATTAATCAGATCTTGGGAGTTAAAGGGTTATGGAAAGTCTTAGAACACTAACCAGGATCTCCTTCTTCCGACATGACTTGACGCTGTCCATGGAAGCGATTAGACGAGGATAAAAACCCTCCCTTTTTCTTAGTGTTCTTGTTCGTTCTCTGGGCGTTACTGTATAGAACACGACCTGTTGAAAGAAATACGCCTTTATGTTATTTCATGTATACCTATCTGTCACAAGGTTTAAAAAATTTCATTCAAAATAAATTTCTGACTTTTTTCAGATCAGGCCATCGGTAAGCATTGAGAAAAAAAAAACAGTCTGTCTGCATCATAATTATTAGCTATTGTTAAAGAAACAAATTTAAGAATCTTGGAGTGCAATCCCCCTATTATTTCGGCACTCAGTTTATTTTGTCCAAGTATTACCACAAAAAGAGGTGTTAAGTATCATCGTCTGAACAGAAATGGCCACAAAAGTACAACTTGAAAGAGGGGCCGTTTACGGAGTCACTGCCTTAGCACACGAATTTCAGTAACTCTGCATCGCCCAGAATTCAGCGACATATCCGGGACTTTCATTGAGACGCTGGCGCTAAATTTAAATGCTAATTAGAAAATGATTGTCAAACAATAAAGGAAAAGGGCTGAAAATGTCGAGGAAGGCTTACGTTCTCTTCGTTTACGGATAAACTACTTTTCAAATGCTACTTTTACCATATGGCTTTTAAAGAAGAAAGTTCAATTGAATAGTGTATCATTCTCACTTTGTTCTTGCGCTTTCAGAAGAGGTCGCAAATTTGCCTTGAAAATTGACTATGTTAGCATTCTGCTTGTATGAGAAGTCGATCTCAGCGCACTTTCAGGCGTAATTTATCTTCACTCAATTGCTAGATTTCTCTTTTACCATATGGTTATTTTTATTTGACATTCTAGAAAGCGTCATAGAAATTTTCAAGGGATTCCAAACTTTGGAAGTAGTCGCAAAACGCGAATTTCGAAAACGTTTGCTAAGCATCGTAGTGTTCTATCCAAATTTGTCCTTTGGAGACCCCCACGAGAATACAAGTGACCTATTTTAAACTTCCCGCGAGAATATCAAGGTATGTTAAGCTCCGCCTCCGCAAACAATCGCGCACACACCGCCTAATTAGTATTGAAATTGAGGTGGTAACTAGACAATGCTTAAAAAACTGTAAAAGCTTTTAAGATATGATCGCTGAGATCGCTGCAGAAATATTCAGCAATCGTTACAATCATATGGAAACCACACTCCTATTATTGTCGCAAGATAGACTCTAGCTCTATCTCGACGATCGTCGCACTCACAAGCCGGTTGTCGGAAGCATCGCTCATATTTTTCTCTACCGATTGAAGCGATTTTAACGAAGTAGATTCTTCATGATACTTTTTTTCTAAATTTTTCTTTTTTCTATTTTCTATTTTCATGATACTAATTTTTATAATTCCGATAACATTTTGACCAACGGGAGTCTGTCAGTCCATATAAGAGTTCGCTGCAAACGAATTTGCTAAACGCTTTGTTAAGAGCGTGGCTATTGTTAATTATTGCTATTGTTCACTTTATGTCACCTTGGGATTTACTTTACGCATCCAACTGTTTGATTGACAGCAGCTGAAATCTGCAAAGAGACTCATGTATTCCCAAAGCTTTACCTGCTGACCAATCACAACCGACTAGTTCAGGATATGCAAATTATTATGCTGCCCGCTGATTAAATGGGCACTGCAAGTACATGTCGCGAAAGACAATAGAATTCTGGGCGATGGGTCAGGTCAGTACACGCACCTTGTGTTGAGTCGTAGGAAATCCCGACTTCATAGGACCCTGGTGGTGGGTTATCCTAGGAGAGAAATAACACATGCAAGTTACGATCTGAAGATACAAGCCATAGCCATTCTGGTCTGCGTCAAATTATCAAAACACAAATTAGTGCTAACAGCAGGAGCTCATTACAGCTAATTTGTGGCAACCAAATAAGAAACTTTAAAATTTAGTCTCTTAATTAAAAAGGATGTGAGCAACAACCATAATTACCGTTTGTAGTTCACCCGCTCTTTGACTCGTCTCCGCTCACTAAAAGGCTAAGGGGCTACACATTTAGCTTATTAGTCCCTCAAGTGTATTCTCGTTTCTAAAGCATGAGACGACCAGGAATAACGCCCCCTTCCAACACCCCAGAGAGCCTCCTGAGCCACGAGAAGACTCCATCACAAATGTCTGTATAGGACTTCAAAGATACTTACTTCAAAGAAAAGGATATGTGGTTTTATATGTTCATATGCGATCTACATAAATACACAACAAATTAAGGGGTCAGAAACACTTACTAACACCACCCCTGGAGGGGTGTGAAGTCTACCAGTGGCAGATACGAAGGTGGATGAGGGTGGATCGTCTTTACTTTTAGCTTTGTCTTTGGTTAGGTAATGGGCAGGACCTTGAAAATACAGAGAGCAAACGTTGTAGGGAAAAGAAAAGGCAAAACATTGCGAAACCTCAGATGTCTCTTAAAAACTCTCTCTTCAGATTAAGTCAGATACATTGTTGTCACAAGCTTTTTTTACACGTATAAAATTTCCCAAAATATTTAGACATAACAAAGCAAAACATCTTTGTTCTGATCATACCTGGCATCTGTTCCTCCTTCCTTCTCATCATCGGTGCTATTCGTGCAGCTGTTGAGCCAAATGCACCTTTCCTGGAACTCTCAACACTGCAAAGAAAAATTTAAGAAAACGACTTGAAAAGAAAGGCAAAAGAGTTGAATATAAACCTTAAAAACATTCTCATCTGAGGCCAAAACAATTCGTCCCTCTTACAACCCCTTAAACCAATTACCCAAGAATCCAGGGTTTCTTTTGAGGGTGGAAAGCAGGAATGGATGGTGTTGAAGCTAACAAAGCATTATTGCAGTGTAACCTCATTCCATGTAAGTAGGTTTTAATAAAAAATTGCATACATTTAGTCAGCAGCGTAGTGCAGTAGGTAAAACTATGCTCAGTCTGCTACTGCAACCAACTGTTGGTTTGATAAAGGGGACTTTGACAAAGTATGGAACCTAGTCTGCCACAACCTGTATCTCATATATCTTAAAATTAATCGTCAACCCGTGCAAATGCAATGCAAGACAACTTTCTGCCATTCAAGCATAGAAATTCAGTTAATAAGCCAGTGATCTCTAACAATTTACAAATAGTCAAAAAAGATGCTCTTGTATCAAATGATACTTACTGGGCCTTTCTTATCAACTCTGATGTCATGTCTGGAATGCTGTATGATCCTGGTCCTATGATAGAGCATTTAAAATTACCCTGGATGAGTTATATGATTGATGTAATTTTTTCCTCTAAATAGTGCCAACATAATGCAAACAGTGTATTTAATGAAATTTTGTGAAAATAAAAAAATAAAAAATTATAAACAAGTAATCAAGACCAAAACAATGACAAAGGCACCATAAATACACTAAAAAATAACTTAAAAATTTCTCTGGCTTTAACCAGAAGTGAAAATGTAATTATGCTGGCATTTCAATAGGGAGTGACAATTGGCATCTAATGTTTAAAATAGTCCTTCATGTCACCGCAACCATATTTGATTTTGGTGACAGAGGGTGTCTCCAATTTTTGGCATAACAACGCTTTACAAAGTTCTGTTAGATTCAGAAGTTTTTGCATGCACTGCTAGCTAAAAAAGCTCTCAACTGAATATAAGACAAAGGAATGTTAAGAGAAGCCACATTACTGATTTAGAATCATGGTTTGCATTTGAAAGGGTAAAATAAGATGTATCCAACATGTTGGCATTGTCACTCACCAGGGGTCCTTTTCACATGATGTTCCCCATGAAATCGCACGGATGTTTGACCAAAAGGACTTCGCTTCAGTCCTGTAGTCCTACAAATTATGAAAAATAAACATTAATGGAAAAATATGTCAAGTATATCATAAATATTCTCCTGATGATAACTTCTTGTACCTTAAGAACCATCTATTTGGATTTGACTTTAAAATATGACAGGTAGTATTTTACAAGTTGCTCCAGGAAATAACCAGATTCCCAAGACACCAAAAATGGTCATGCAAAATCAAAAGAAAGAGTTTGGTCTATAAATTTTGAACCAATGCTGAAAATTCCAGAAGGTGATGGAGACTCAAATCAGAAAAAGGACTGATATTTTATAGAACAAACTGTTACTTAATCATTATGGAAGACTTGTGCATACCTTTTAAGTATTTCTAGGGAATTGCGTGGATCATTGTATGTGCCAGGAGCAGGTGTGTCTTTCTTACTGTCTCCAAAGCGCTAAATAAGGCAAATGAAAAATGTAAAAGGAATAATCTACAGTTAAAAATAAAAAAGATACAATTATTAGTTCAGAACACATAGATATCTTTATAAAATAACTAAGAATATTAAAAAGTATGAATATTAATCACAAAAACATCTACCATCTACAGTTAAAAACATATACAAAAATTAATCCAAAACACATAGATTATCTATTTACAACACTATGGTATGAAATGTTTTTTCATGGCTGAACTGAAGGTGCTAATGGTGTCCTTTTTATGTATTTCAAGACGAATTTCATTCCACAGTAGGAGGTTTAAAAAAGGCAACAGCCTACCAGATTAGAAAACAAAGACAAAAAACAACAGAAAAACTGAGTAAAAAATTAGAAGTGGCATACCCTGGACTGAGTGCCAAATGGAGGATGAATGATTGGTTCATCCTGATTGACAGGTGGTGGTTTAGCTGAGAACTGGCTTCTAATTTCATATTTCCCTGGACCTGGAACAGCCTACAAGTAAAGAAAAACATACCAATAAGCTAGTAGTGTTCAAATTACCAGTAAGTAAACTTTCTTGGAAATCATTTGAGGTAGTATGAAATGATTTTTGGGGTGGAAGCAGTGATGTTGTGGCTTTAACTTTTGCTTAGTTGGTAAATTTTAGTTGTAATTGACTTATATGAGTCCTCAAAAATCAAAGTTAAACAAAGAAAAGCTAACACTCAAAATGGTTTGAAAAATCTCAAACTATGTAGAATTTGACCCATAATGGTAAGTATGACCAAAAAAAAGTTGTACAACTGCAGCATTGTCACAGCCCCTGCATCTAAAATTTTCTAAATTTCACCTTGTAACTGGTAAGTGATTGAACTAATTACTCCACAAATACTACAAACTATAGATTGCAAGGCCCAGTTGTGTCATGGGCAGATAACACTAACTAATGGATAAATCACTATCCAGCCAATAAGTGACAGCAAAACATATAGAGTTATTCACCAGATAGAGTTTAATCCAGTGGATAGCATTATCCAACCTTTGGACAACCAGAGCAAGCACAAGCACACAGTCAAGTTTTCAGTGTTTACCAAGCATTTAACATTATTTTGTGCCTCTAAATGTACTATATTTCTTTAATACCAACAAGTGGCAGCTGCTGCATCATGACTCAGTACTAATTATTGATACGATAATTACAGAATTAATTATTAGAATTATATTTTAGTTATCATGATCATTAGTGACATATTTCTTTTGCAGCAAAACTTTTGAACATGAAAAGTTTACTAGGTCATAATTTCTTACCTTCTTTTCTTCCACAACCACTATAGATTCATGATATCGGGGTAACTAAAGAAAAAAATAAATGATTCTTTGTCATTTTATTGTTGGTGTGTAAATTATACATGTTGACCATATTATTACATATCCAAAGTAAAGCTGTAAAGCTTCCATCTACACTCACTATTTTATCAATAATATGCCAGTGTCAACTCTGACTTTTTTAATGACGTTTCTTTTATTCATAATTGAACCTTAAATACGGTATAATTTTTTGTCTAACAGTTAGCTTTATTGAAAATGTTACCTTTGATTCAAAAGGTTGCTTTCTGCTTTCCTCTATCACCTAGCAATTGAAAAGAAAACATTAATAGAAGTAAATATATCATGATTATGCATGTAATCTTCAGCAACATACTTTACTCTCACAGAGACTCTTTCTCCACTCTGGAATGTTAACTGTTAACCCTTTGATTCCTAAGATTGACTTGCATCTAATTTCCCCTTACAACATCACTCCTGCATCAAGCATTGAGGTCACAAAAATAAAGGAAATTATCACCAACTAAAGAAGCTCATGATTGTTCAACATATTCTCCTTGTCAGCACCTTGAGAAATGTATACAGAACAGTAAGGAGAATATGCATATTCACATTTGGGTGTGAAGGGATAATAATTAGCAGCCACCTGCCAGGGAAACCTGATCAATAGCTTGTGGGCAGGTGGTGTGCACACTCTGATTACATTGCATCATGGTCATAAAATGAAAAGTGAGTCATTTGCATCCTGTTGTGGTTGAGTGAACATCTCTGGTGGCAGGGAGATAGTGTGAATAAACATGGAATGTAATGGGGATTCACTGCCTGTTGCCATTCCTTTGAACATTAAAAAGTGTTTGCAGGCCTGCACAACTCCTGTTATTCCTTCGTGAAAAATTACATTTACCTATGGTGAAAGGAAAAGGAACGGCCTAACTTTTACAGAATGTGCAGTCAAAATCTGCTGATTTCTGCTGCTTTCGTCGCCATGTTAAAAATGAAGTTACCACAATGCAACACAACTGCAGTGTGCACACCGCCTGGCTTGTGGGTAGTCATTGATAAAGTAGCAGTTCATCTCTGGGTGTCGGTAGAGACAACTGTCCTAGTTACTTCATGAGAGCTGAGCTCTGGCAAATGTGGAACACTAAACTAAAATGCAGACTTTCGACTCTTAAAGTTCATAATTAGTTTACATACAGTATTTCTTTTATAATTCTTTCCTTTTGGAGAAATCTACCTAAAGTATTCCAAACTATTCTCCACTATTTTTGATTTATTTCTCTTTATACACACTCACGTAGCAAGAAAAATGCTACAACTACTTTAAATTTATAAGTTTGACTACTCATTTCATAACTTACCAAATCAATTGGTGCTCTAATTCCAGGGTCCTTAAATGGATCATACTGTCCAGGGCCTGGTCCTCCAGTTCCTGAGAAATACATATTAAACAGTTTCATTACCAGTGTGATACAAATTAATTTCAAGCAAGAAAAGTGTAATAAAAAATTAAAGCTACCTTAAGATAGTAGCAGTGAGCATTAACCTTCTCAGGACTTCTAAGTAATCAGAGCATATGATTTGAACACAGTTTCTCACATACTGTACATGTCCATCTTAACACCAGACCAACCTTTAAATTGCATTCTCTTTGATGTTCTGTTCCCAAAATGAACTCCCCTGTATCTTTGAACAGTGGCAGTTTCCCTCTAGATGAAAAGTTAAAATTGTAAAAAAATATAAAAAACATGACTATATTAGTAATTATAACTCTGTAGACTGCTCTATTGATCTCAGTTTGTGTCTCTTTTTTATGAGAATAATTTGAAAGAAAATATTACATTTTTTAACCATCTCTGTGTGCATTGTATTGCAGCTAGTCATTTGATTCATTGTTAGTATTTTTTAATCATAGCCTCTGATTCTAATTTCTTAAAATTTAATGCTTACGTGATTAACACTATAATAAGCAGGTCCCATGGTGCTGTCACGAGTCGGCACATCCTGTGGCCGTAGAGTTCCATCTGCTCCTTCTTCATATCCATATGCTTTGCCAGGTGATGGAATGGAGGGTGGGTCAGCCTTCCTCTGAAATGTTATGCGACTTGTCTTGTATAGCTATAAAAACATACATTCAGATGAGTATAATTATTAAAATTATTTTCTGCTAATATTGCTGTTATTACATACTGTATAATTATGTATTTTTTGTCAAGTGAAGAGTCATCCTTGTCAAGTTTTACACATTATTTTAGGTGATGCAATTCCAAGAATGGTCTCATCTCATTACACTTTGAACTAGGCAACAGAATGGAATAGCCAGAAGCTTGATGTTTGAATTAAATATCACACAAATCAAGGGGTTCAGTTGTTCACCCATCAACAACATGAAACCAATAACAGCAACTTGCATCAAATCCAGGCAGGTAGTAATTATATTTGGTTTATCACAGAAAAAACATGAATGTTTCAGTATCAATTAAAAACTGTTTTTCAACATGACATATTATAACAAAATCTCTGCCACTTACAGATCCATCTTTCATTCCTTCTTGAACTTGTATATCAGGAGGTAGTGCCTTTTGAGGCTGATTCTCTCTCAACCAATCACTTCTTTTTTGTAAGTTATAAGCTCCTGGCCCAGGGGTATGAGATTGTTTATCACTGAATCTAGAAGCCTGTAATGATAGATGAGGTCTCAATTCATACTTCGCATGAGAATATATATGCAGTATTTCAGATAAATATGTGCACTTTGGAAGTCATTTCATCATGGTAAAATAAATTTATCATTTTTATTTTTTCTCTGAATTTCTCAGTGATGCTGAGCCAATTTATTGCAACTTCAAAAGTGGACAAACCAATAGTTAGCACTGAACCATTTGCTATACCCACTATCCACATGCAGAACCAACAAACAACATGTATTAAGAATTTAATAAAATAACTAAAAAAATTAGACCAACAGACCATCCAACTAGGTTGTAAAGATTTCGATTCAGTTACAGAGCACGCAATATATATTCAAAAGAACATTCCAACAAACAACTTTTAGTTTAAACACATTCAGTTCTTCGTTCAGATTTTGGCATGAATTTGCAGTGTGAACATTCCTAACATCACTCTAAAGTAGTTTTCTGGAGATATATATGATTATGGTGAAATATTAATCACATATAAGAAAAAATTGACAAGATTGATGAAAACACAGTACTCACTCTGTTGGCCAGCGTGTGTCCTCCCCTCACTCTCTCTCCCATTATACCAGGATCATACTGGCCAGGTCCTGGTGCAGCCATGACATTGTCACCAACATCAAGAAATGTTTCACGTGCCGTCATGGATAAGAATGGTGCGTATCCATCTGCAGATCACAAAGGTTGGGTAATTGGCCTTCAATTTTTCAAGTCAACAAAATTATTACCTACATTTTAAGATCCAATTTAGAACACAGACCAGCCTTAAATGTCAAAATAAACAATGCAGTTAATGGTTTGAACCTGGAGATAACATTATTTTCATTGTGCAGTCTGATCGTCCGGATAAGTGTAGTCCTAAGAAGGGCTGTTGTCAGTGGTAGTGACTAATGTTTCAACAACCTGAAGAGTTTGTTTCAGTTGTTGTAGCAGGTCGGTAAGTATTTTGTCAAATTAAGTCGTTGTTGTAGATGTGGCAACTGCTGAAACAAACGATAACGCAACTCCTACATACACATATTGGGCATGCTTGAAACAGCCCAATTTACGGGTGAGTTCTTATGGGCAGCTAAGAAGTTACCTCTGATCTATTGGTATTACTGCTGCTTAGCTGTTAAGGGTGCTGTAACGTCCCTATGGTATTTTTCTTCTCGATTACTTTGAGGAAGTGTTGAAGGTAACAATGTTATTCCACACGCACATACATATTGGTAAAGTAAGAAGATTACGAGTCAATTTATAGTGCTACATGTTGTGGGTTTGTACTCACATCTTTCGGAATACACTTGCTTCTTTACTGAAAGGTGAGTTTTGAGTTTTACGCTGTACCAAGTACAAAATTTCAATTCACCACACAGCTGGACTAAACATGCATAGTTTGTTCTGCTGTTTCTAAACCATACCGTGTTTTGTGCGTCCATGTTCCGCGGCTTCATACGATCCTGGCCCAACATTCTGACCTGTACTGTCTGTTGGTTTCGTAAGTGACCTTGGGGCTCGATCGTACATTTTCAGGAGGAAAAATATTGCTGTTCCTACCACAATCTGTTCGCTGCCTATTTCGGTCAGTTTCGGACATACATGGCGGGTCGTTGTTGTTATGGTAACAAATGGTAACACCTTTTCCAATTTGAATGCGGTAGACTGGAGACTAACGCAGTGCTCTGGAGTGTTTTGTTTTTACGGGGTAGCTGTGAGGAAATAGAGATTTAAGATGTTACAAAGCCATTTTGGCTGAAAATTGTTCTCTGATATGTTTGAGTAAACCTTCCTTTCGTGCAAATGGTCTATGAGTCCTTCATACAACTGATATCCATATAAAAAGCCGTGATTTGTGGAATAAACTGGGTTAGACTGCGCGGGAAAGTAAGTGAGGCGAGGTTACAAAGCAAATGATCAGACACTCTGCAAGCATGTTTCGTCGACAAGGTCTCGTGCAGGTAAGATGGGGAATATTTGTACCTTTACCAAGTTATACTCTTTCTTGGGTTTTGAGAGAATATTTTATGATAAATTTTTGTTGTTCTTTTCAGCTTAAACGAATCGCCACACGATGTGAAGGAGAAGTGCCTCGGAGAAGCGGAAAGTGTAAGTCAGCATGTTGCAAATGGTGTGCTCGTCATTGGAATCCTCACTTCCTTTAAGATAGAATACAATAAATATCGTAGCCTTTAATCTCTGAAATCAAATTATTTTGAAGCGTTTAAAGCAATCAGTTTGAACTCTCCTCTTCCCCCACCTCAGAGGGTTTAATTTTCTCCAATGAGAGGATTGGGTCACGTCATAAAAGGCGGCTATGGATTACGTTCAGCGGTTGATATTGTATCTCTGGCTTCACTTTGAACTTGCCTGATCACAGATCTTTGGACTGGTACACTTAAAATCACTATGAGGACTAGTTCCTGAAAACATTCATTATGTAGAATGGAACTGAACATAACTAACTCTAATTCTTGAAGGGAAACTAACGGAAAGTAACATGCAGTCTAAGGCAGCTGGTGGCAGAAGACTGAAAAAAAAGCTGAATAAATTGTTATGTTAGATGGAAGTTTAATTAACGAAATTCAAATTTGTGAAGGTTTACCTTGATACTGGCAATATACTTTATTACAAGTGTCAAAACTGCAAAATTTGTAGCTCCCTGATATATAAGACTGACTTGAATAACACGTGAAGCTTATCATAGTTATTGAAGAATGAAGCAACTGGGTATACAGGATATCCTTCTGACTGGAATGGCAATTGGTTCAGTTTGACTCTCCCACTTGAAGTATTTTCTCTGTGGCAGTTTTCTGGTATCCTGGCTTAGAAGGTGCAATATGAAAGGGCATGTCTTACCCATGATCACAACCCTGGCCACAGGTCTAACCCAAACCTTCCAATGCAGGGTCCATAACAGCAGGCATCAGGCCACCACTATCAGGATATCCTTCAAAATGAAAAATTTATCCAGGCTGTTTCATTCATGCCCACAGGTCTCAACAGTGTACAGTTGATTGGTTATACAGGAGGTGATCCAGTGAAAGGGAGTGCAGACTACCAGCCAACTAAGTTTAGCTTGGCAACAACACAATATTATACATCAAGAGAAGGTAAATAATGATGATGTATCTTTGTCAGTCAATTCTTGACAAAACAAGGAATTTATTATCCTCCTGACATGTAAAAGTTTATAGGGCAGAAGGTAAAGTTGTAGGTGTAAGGTGGAAGTGTTTCTTTTATTTGAAAAGTGCTGTCAGGAAAAGTCTTGATATGTTATACAAAATGAATGAAAATTGTATTATTAAGTATTTTTTTTAATCACAGAGATTCACATTTTTTGTCTTTTTTTATTTCTAAAGATTATTTTTTTGGTGACAAGGAAGTCCAATGCAATCTACTGTACCTCTTGTCTTTCTAGTGCATTTACCCAGAAATTGCTTATAAATTAATATAATACCCATAATTGTGTCAATAACAAACCAAGTGGTTCTTTACAGCCCTTATTTGTGGCTAAATTGGCTTTTTTAAGCCCAAACTGTCCAATTTCACCCGTCTGATTGCAAACACTTTCAAATCACACAGTTAGGCAGCCAACTAAAATTTTTACATTTTAAGTGAACTGAGCCAACAAAACTTTACTACCAAGCTGATGCTAGCCAATCAAAATGAAGAAGAGTTTTTAAGTTAAGCAGGTTGAGAGGTCAATATTGATACCAAACATACAAATGAACTGGTCCAATGACTATGATTCAGTATCAGTAAGAAGGATCCATACTCCTAAATTGAAGTTTTTGTTCCTGAGTTCCCCATATTTTGTCATTGGTACAGTTGGTAATTGAACTTGTCAAACAATTTAGGGGTGATCACACTTGCAAATTTCACACCAGTGTCATGCTATGCATTGGGCCAATTTGAAATCACATGCCGAATTACTGGATTGTTGTCCACTCAGTCCTATTACCATTTCTAATAATGATGTAGAAAAAGCCTTGTCAACGCAGTCTGATTAAATCCCTCTGACCTACACCATCAAATTATCTGAGGTCACTCTGACATGATTCCAGTGCTGAAATGTAGTTTTTAAATGATGTTTATTGTCCTTTCAATAAGAACTACTGTTTTCATCTGACTCCCTTGCTTTGTAGAAAAACTGGAGAGTAGGACACAGTGGCACAACATTACAGTTTTCAGACCCTACTTACAAGATACAGTTAACAGCTATGTGAGAAAGGGGTAAGTTCTTCATAAAAAAAACTATCGTGGATTTAGTTATAGATTCATGAAACCTTAGCTTTTGTTTCTAGCCCTGAATTGCCTACTAAAATGAAAGTTACTGGTAGCTTAGAAACGTTGTTCAATTAAGGATCTCATGGTGAAGATTTCAGAAAGTATTGGTGGTTATACCCTTTCAGTGTGAAGTACAGAACTGGAGATCAGAGAATTCTCTGGGTATCATGTAGAATTCTCTAACTGAATTTGAAGGCCTCAGCCAGTTTTTTTTATTCAGATTTGGAGAATTTTCAAATATTCCTCTTTGCTGTACATTTCTTATGGTTTTAGTTTAAAGGAATTGGTATTGTATCAACCATGAAACCCCTACTTGGTATTTTTATTTATTCTCAGCACTTGTTTCTGTTGTTTTACTTAATATTGTTCTATGTGTAAATTCATATTTTCTGTTTAACTCCCAGAACACGTCTGTTTGTTGAAGGACATATAGACTACAACAACTATGTTGACCAGGAAGGGATCAAGAGGTTTAGCACAAGTATCATTCCCAGTAAGAATTTATTGACAACTTGAAAACCTCTTTCAATTGTTTGCCTTAAATTAACATTTCACAAACTATGGCATGCTACAGTATTTTGCCAATAGGTAACTCAAAGTAAAGGATCATTAGTATTGTATTTTTTTACCTTTTCCATTCCCTTTTTACATGAGAAATAAGACAAACTTGAACAACAAATTGCTTTATACAGTAAATGGTTTGAACCTGAGCAGAATTCTGATGGGAGTCTTACTATGACTTCCACTCAGGTTGTCAAAACATCAGTCACCACTACTGACGACAGTCCTTCTCAGGACTACACTCACCTAGACAATCAAACTGGCTTTTCAAAAGAAACTACGTCAACTGGGAAAACATTTATGTGGAAAATTTCTACCTTTGGTTTTGTTAATTTTCTTTTTTTGATTTTGCAGATAATATCATCATTCTGTCTCAGCCTATGACAGTGGACGAGGATCCTGGTTATGAAAGCTATCAATAATAATCATCATTCAGTTGTGTAAAATTGCTGTATATGTTTGAAAACAGTTCTAAGTCTTGGGCAGGCAAACTGACTCAATCACAAAAAGCTTTTGGAGGCCACCTCTAATTTCATAGCTGTACTTATTTGTTTAGATATCTTTGTAATATTAAGGTTACTCTCTTTCTTTTTCACCTCTATGATCAGTTCACTTTGCCAACCAGAAAAAACTTTCTGAGTGCAATCAACTGAAAACATAGGTATCAGATGAACTCATACCAGTGTAACAATGAGTCTTCTTAAATAGGATCTTCTGATTAATACAGTAAGCATAAAAAGACGAAATACCTACAGGGTTGTTATTCAAAGTATGAAAATTGCTCCACACTGATTAGCAGATGCTTTTAAACCTTTTGTAATATTTCTTAATGGGAGAGTCTGGTTTGTTACATGTGGTTGAGGTTGCAGTAATAGTGTAACCTTTAAACCCTGGCGTCTTATTTCTCCTCATAATATCACCCCTGAATTACACATAACGTCATGAGGATAAAGAATATTATCACCAACTGAAGAAGCTCCTGATTGTTAAACAAATTCTCCTTGCCGATACTTCAGGCAATTTATGCAGAATGGTGTAGAGAATATGCATATTGATGTTAGGGTGTTAAAAGGAAATGTTTAGATTTTAGGTTTAATTTCTCCTTTACAAAGTGGTGATCAACTTCAAGATAACATGGTAAAAAAATGAGACGCCTTTCATATATGGAAATCCTTAAAGTATACTTTAGGATTTTTGGCATATTTTGCATGATGGAGAAATTTGCCAGTATTTACCATTTACCACATTTTAAAACTGCTGTTAGAATGTTCAAACTGAAATGGATAGAGCAACTTTCCTCCGAAATAAATTAAACCTCACCCTAGGAATACAGGTCACAGAGTCACTTGGCCTTCATTTGATCATGGTGGAAGGAGACTAAAATTTATGGACATAAACAAGTTTATGATCCCAGTTTAGGCAAACTATTCCAGACAATCTGTCAGTACAATAGATGTGTTAATATGTTAGTTTGGTATCCAGTCGTTTCATATCCAAATTCGGTCGATTTATGCTCAGTTTGAGTCGGTCTGTGCGCCAACCGCCGTCGACCCGTATCCGTCCTAATATACATTCGAGATATCTCGCGCGTGGGCGAATCAGCCAAGCTGGGTACGAAACGACAGGGAACCGATAGTTCCTATCCTGTTTTAGTTTCACCTTTTACACCTTAAGATCGCGATGCACATTCTCTATACTGCTCTCCACTCATTCCCAAAGGTGCTGAAAAGGAGAGTTTGTTCTACAATTAAGAGCTCTTAAAGTTGGTGATCATTTGCTTTATTCTCGTGACCTTATTGTTTGATTCAGGAGTGATGTTGTAAGGAGAAATAAGATGCTAATCACTCATTGGGGTCAAAGGGCCAATCATTGGTATGTAACTCAATCGTAATTATTAAAGCTAACTTATAACTATTTACAAGACGAATACGATTCCAAAAAGATTAATGAACTGAAACATGAATGGTTTCCGTGACTGATTAAAAAGGTCCCCGAAAGAATTCAGTCACGGAGAGAGCAGATAAAATTTGGCTCGAAGAGACGAATGTGTTACGATCCCCAAATTCTTAATATGAGCAGAACCACGCGATAAAACCGTTCACAGAATTTTGCCAGGGCTAGGATCAGTGACGGTGTGAACCTTTCAGAAGATAAGGCAGCCTTTTCCTCAAGAAGACCTATTATTCACTTTGATTGCTGAATCCTTAGAATATCGCGACGAGAGGTAGAGAGGAGGGGGTAGGGTAGGGATTTCAGGACCGCAGACCACCTCGGCTGGTACTCAATTTACCCAAGCAGAACACTACCCTGACTGAAATGAAAATTTTTTCACAGCTGTGGACTTTCAGCTATAAATGTTCACTAAAACGATGTGGACCCTTATCCTCTAACCCAATATAAGCAGTAACAATTTCTCCACCTTTTTAAGTGTTGTTAGGCAGTGTTTCCAATAAATCACGGCTGCCGCAGACCAGACTGAAGCATAGCCCCGGCATATCGTCATGGATAAGGGAATCGAAGAGCACGGCTGCTAGTATAGGATGTATTTGCAAACAGCAAGGAGGTTGGAGGAGATTTCATCAGTAACCAGTACTTTATTCTGGAATTAATTTCTCGTGGCATTGGAGGATGATCTCTGGTCAGGTCTGTTAATCACTCCCCAGTAACACCCCTTTGGGCGTCGGTGTCCCTAATACTTACATATGCTGATTACAGGACCTTAGTAGACTTGCAACAGAGTTCACAGTTATCAGGAATTTCGACTAAGTTTCGTTTTAAGATGTCTTTAAACCAAAACCAAAACGATTACAACGGCAAACCAGAGAGTGGGATGGAACAACTCCAAGTGAAAAAAGGCAAACTTGTGAGAGATGCGGATAAAACGTAAATGAACAAATCTCAATTGGGTTGATTTTTTTTACTGAAGGGTACAACTCACGCATCCCAGAGTACTACTTTTTAAGCATCACTTGTGTCACTTTAAATAAATTTTCACCCTAATTTCTTGAACACAAATCTTTGTCGTTCTTTTTTTTAGAATATAAGCTATTGCTATAGTTAGCTCAAATACCAAACGAATCAGTTCATTATGGATTCGAATTCGAACGTTAATGAAGTTCGTGGTCAGATATCGATTCAAATGTACACTTAAGAAAGCGAACATCTTAAGTTTTTTTTTGTTGTCGTTCGTTTAGTACAATATAAATAAAATCAGTTGGGTTTTTATGTCGGACCACCATGAAAGGAGTTAAACAGCGACAAAGAATTTCTAAACATATTGTTTGTTTTCCAGCGCCCCAGAAGAATTACGTAACGCTCTTTGTTAACTTGACTTAGTAAAGTAATGTGTTGTGACATTTCACAAAGACTCGAACGACGATTGTGATCTCAGGTGACACTGATCTTGCATTTCAGGTTTTGGGGAAGTTATGAATAATGATAACAATATTTCCGACGCTAAAAGTTTTTCCTTTGAATTAATGTCTGAGCCGTTTAACTGTGAACTCTGTTTAAAGAGCCTTTATGAACTCATGCTAGTGACTTGTAAATTTTGGTCCTCGTTTATGTTCATCAACTTATAATCACGCTTTGAACTGCTTCAATTAATTTTCCTGCGAAGACTTTGACATTGCGTATTTCAGATTTTTTGGGGGTAATTAGTCGTGTAGCAGAACAAAAATCAGACAGATGTTTCATTAAATATTAATAAGAATTTTGTGGATTCCGGTGTTACTTAAAGTAATGGACAGTCCATGTCTTTGTTCCAAGTTTTTTGCGAAAAATGTAAATATTAACACACAAAGGCAATTCGTGTCAGTTGGGCGATCAAGCGTGACTCCAGAACACTCACCGTTAACAATTAAAAATTTTAATATGTATTTAAAAATTTGACCGAGATGAACAGTTGACGCTCAGCATTAAACGTTCGTGGTCTGAGCCGCGAGTAAAGTTGCATAAAAGGGGGCAAAAGATTATAGAAAGAAATTGGAAGAAGTTCATGTCATCAAATTATTCAAGGAGAAAGTCGACCTTCTCAAGTAAGTGCATGAACTAATGTCTTCCTTACCAACTTTGTTTTGATTTGTTAGGATGGTTTTTACAATTATGCTCTTACGCAGTTTCGCGTGCAGAATTTTATTCTCTTTCGTTTAGAAACATGCTACTTTATTATGAAATACTCTTTCCTATTCTCGATTTTATTAAACTTTCAAAGTTTTGCCTGAGTTAATGAGTTTCATTCTGAAATATTTCTGCACACAATTTCGCTGGGAGTTCATACCTTGAACAAACATTGTTAACTCAAGTCGCTCGTGTACATGGAAGTGAACCAGTTTCTAACCGCTTAGGAAAAGATTTGAAATTTAGTGTTTCCGTTAAGCATTTGAACGCTTCAGTTAACGGCCACATGCATGGTAGAACAATCATTTACTAGGCTAGACATCCAGAGTTAATGGTCCGAAGAATCCATAATCTTATAACAATAGCGTGCATGGGTCGCCGAGCAGTCTCTGAAAGACGAGCTAAATCGTTCTATTATACGGTATGATTTGAGGATGTTGCTCACTTTCTCGGCTATTTTCAACCACACTGAGGTGATTATTCCACAGGAGTCTATTTTTTGTCGAGCAAAACTGGATCAGTTATTTGTATAATTGTTAATTTTGAACCTTCTATCATCGTCAAATACATGCTTCGGATAACAACCATTCACGCGCAAAAAACGGGGAATAGTTTTCATTGGCATTTCTCTCTGATCTTTTAAATTCACTGAGTCCCTGTTTGGCGAAAATTACCGAACTAAACTATCAGAAGTAATATTCTCTTCATGGCATGTAGTCGATATTAAATATCTGGTAACATTTTCGAGCTCAAGTTAATGATAACGTTTTTAATAAGGTGCCAATATTTGCAACCAAAAACGACATAATATTTCCTTTGCATTCAATTATGTCTTCGATGCAAGTTAAATCAGATCAGCTAAACCTCGATTATACACGCAACTAGAAAGCTTTGGTTACAAATTTATCGACATCAGAAAAAATCGCCGTTATGTTTTGTTCGCCAGAACTCGAAAGGAAACTCGAAACAAACAACCACATATCATTACTTTATATTAGCTTTTTTTATTCATTTAACAAACACAAAAAATCTGTGTAAAATTATAGACCAGTTCTGCATGCACGGACGTAAAATGGAACTGCACGGGTTGGAATTATTTCTAAGGATTAACATTGTTGCCGATCACAATCTTTTATTGGGAAACTTTCATCACATCACTGTGGTTTTCAGGAAAGGTCCTAACTTAGGTTCAAAGTAGTAAATTAGACTATGTTCAGTAAAATAAAAGATACCTAGAAATAAAAAATATTTATAAAAACTATATCAAGAATTGATAAAAAGCTGCAATTGAAACGCAAGAAGAATTGTTCTTGGTGCCTTTCCGCAATAGTCTTGATGTAATTGTCTCCTGTCGCGAAGTCATTGGTCAAGAATCATCTTTAATGTTCAGTCTTTAGAAAAAGAGAATTTTAAAAAAGTTTTACAACATTGCCTAAATCTCAATCTCAGATTTCTCCCGCTTAGTTGTGCTCTTTTGTTATGTTTGACGGGGAGTATTTTGCAAGAGTTTCTCAAATCTACGATCAGCAGAGTGCAAAGCCAAGGTCTCCGTAAAATATCCTGGGTTCTTAGTCATCATTATCAAACTCAAAAATAGATGGTGCAGTAACACTGTAATTTTTTCTAGTAAAGATACAAACAAGCTGATAACCCAACAGTCTCTCGCAACCGTTTCACAAAGATTAAAATTGTTTGAAATGAGATTTCTCAAACTAGTCTTACACTTAACCGAAGGATTAAAAGATTTTCTATTAACGACAACCCTAGCTCTTAGAAAACAACTCTTTGTTGTGATCATTGCGCGACAGTCATTGTTTTTTTCCAAAGCCGAGCGGAAGCGACATTCCCCTATGTATCTATTTGATCGCGTAGGAACTGGATTTCAAGAGCAAGTTTTTCTTTCTCCATCATCAATTTATCCTTTTCCAAAGCCAGCTTTTCCTTCTCTAGTAAGAGTTTTTCCTTCTTGAGTTTTTCTATTTCATCTCTCACGTGCGAGCCGGGTGACTCATTCCCATATTCGGAATTTCTTTTCCTTTTGATCACGTGCGTCAGCGGAGAGGAAAGCATACGTTTCTGTTGCGGGATAAGAATGCGATGTCTACCTCCTCCGCTTATAGAAGCGTTCGCTGCGATCACAGTATGTTGACTTGGAAACTTCCCGACTTCCTGAAAAGAGGAGACAATGTTCATGGGAACGGGAGCACAACCATGAATTCCGCTACTGTTTGGAAAAACCTGACATGGGGTCTTCTCCTGATCTTTCGAACTCGGAGTAAGTGAGTTGAAAGCCGAGAAACAGGCTGTTTCTCCGTTGGTATTTTCCTGGTGGGTGTTTTCTACGGTCTGCTCATTGTTTGAGGTTGGGGAAACTATTTCTCCGGTTTTTGCCACGACATGCACGATTCGTTGCTCTTCATTTTGCTCGGCAACCTCCCCCTCCTCTTGTTCTCCGTCCTCCAATAAAGCTTGCTCTAACTGATCGGTTGTGGCCAAACTGCGATCGATACTCATCCCTGCTCCCTCCCCGATTCTACAATTAGAGGCCGTTATGCGTAATATCTCTATAATCTTTTCACTCACTGGTGACAATTTCCTTGGCGTTACCTGTTCGCCACTTTCTGAATCTGCGGTAGATTCCAGGAGTTCTTTCTTTGCTGCGCGAACCATGTTTTTCCATTTTCTCTTTAAATCGTTAGCAGTACGTAGGACGATCGGATTCTTGCTGTTATAATCTCTGCAAATGCGCTTCCACACCTCGACCTTTTGTTTGTTGGTAGTCGCATCGTTCAACTTCGAGGTGAGTATTTCCGAGTTTCGCTCAAACTGAGAGATTAAGAACAAGCTTTCTCCTTCCGTGAAGTTAGGCTTTCGTTTGTTAGCGACGAGGACTACATCTAGACTATCAGCGCTGCGTACGTCGCCGGCGTAAGTCATCGCTGCGAAGGAACAACACTGCCTCGACTGAACCAAATTCACACAGATTTAAGTCACTGATTTGAATGAAATTAAAATTACAGCTTGTGCTTGGCTCTGAATGAAGATCGTGCTAAAATCAACGTGTGACATACATCACTCACTTACGGTGCCTATATCGAGGTGACCTTTGCTGATATTGGCGCTAAGTCAAAGACCTAAGTTAGCCCCGTTGTTCGAAGAGACACGCTTTAATTTAATACGGGTCTTAAAATAGAAATGGCAGACGAACAATGTGGCTTTACCGCACGCATTATGTTAATCCACCACGTCACTGGCTGATTACGTAAAGTTGATACTGACAATAGAATCTCCATATCAAGTTAACACAAGATGGCTTGAAAGCCAAAATAATCCTTAGATTTTTTTTACCTTCGAATATCTCATTTCGCTGTATTTTCGTGAACGTTTCATTCAGTTGTTTTTGTTATGGATGACATACGCTGCGGTTAGGTAACAATTTAGTGCCAGAGGTTGTTTTCGCAATTTAATGAAAAAAAAATGGTATTTTGACCTGCGGATGAAACAAAAAAATGATCCACGCAGGTGGGCTTTGACTAAAACAATTTGAAGAAAAGGAGACTGAAAAATATTAAGGTATTTTCGGGATATGAACTCGTGCCTCCCAGAAACCAGTTGGCATTACCGCAATCTGAGGTACGAAGTCACATGTTGAGAGCGAGGCGAATTTAAGTGAGTCATCCTTCCCCGGAAGCATTTTGATCTCAGTACTGCAAAGTTCCAGTCTCGTCGAAGTGTGAACATCTTTACTGCAATTTATTTGATTGCAGCTTACCAGCAAGGATTATTTCCGATCTTGTGGCAATTATTTGCAGTCTTTGAGACAACCTGTTTTGTCGTTGGCCGGTCAGCTTTACTTTGTCTGTGAAAAACCCTGTTCTCTTACTCTGTCCTTTTGGTAACCTGTTTTACTGTCTGTTTGGCTAGCCTGACTCGCTGTCATTTAGGAACTGCTTTGGACAGCGTCTGGCCGTCATTATTGAAGCGACACCTACCAGTCGGATGTCTAAATGTTTCAGTAGCCGCTCACGGCTATACAATTTGGAAAAATGCTAGCCGGATCAACAACACTTCCTTGAAATCACGTATCATTGGCACTAATTTGCACTTGAACTGTATCATATTTTGAATTAAGATTATGAATTCAAGTTAGGAAACAACAACGCATTTTTAATGTTCAAAGCCTAACAAGGGGTCAGTTAGCGATAAGCCGTATGACCTCAGTCAAACATCTTGTAGCGAACTCTTTTATCAACGAAAAACCATTAGGTTACTACTCAAAACTAGACAGCGACGCGAGAAGCACTGAAAAAAAAAAAAAGGAAAAAAAAACAGACCAGACTGGCAGCAGTACAGTGGACAAAAATAGGTTCACGCGATCACCAGACCCAGAGTATTTCTAGAAACAATGCAGGAGGAGTAGCAGAGAAACTAGACAGGATCCTAAATTACGAACAACTTGCTTCAAGTCAGTAGCTCCCCATCACTTAAGTTCAAGGCCGAAAAAAGTACAAACAACTGGGCGACAGCGACATTTCAACACCCACTGAAGTAGGACGAATCTTACTCTGTTTTTTGGGCGACATCGGCAAATAAAAAGGTGTGACACGGCGGCGTGGCCACCCAACATAACAGGCCTCAATCAGCACTCATTTCACCGCGGGCGGTTCCTGGATTTTTTTCCCCATACATGAATTTCTGTGAATCGAACGGTGGGTGAACTGTTTTCGAAATTTTCATGATTGCCACTCTACAAACACAACTGTAAAGTCGAGCTGAAAATTGAAGAAGTGATAAATATCAGAAATTAAATTTGTTATTTTCGTAATTTTCGTGAGTTAAAAAAAACTGATCTCTAATATTCCTGATCTTACGACGAAATATTTATATTGTTACAGTATTGTTTAAATCGATGTTTTTATCTTCAGTATCATTTACTTTACCAAATGACCTTACGAATTTAAGAGAATGGCAGACGGACGGCGGCAATATCATTAAACACCAAAACTATTTTAAAATCTGCCGTTAGTCTCGGCATCTCCCATGAAGCTTCGATTACTTATGGGTATCGTCGTTCCTCTCGTCACGAAACCTTGCACTCTTTTAAAAAAAACTGGAATTCTGACAAAAAGAGAAAAAAAGTAAGACATCAGAGCTGATTCACATTTCTTCCTGACTGGTCTTAAAGTCATTTCACAAAACGCAAGTATGACGCCCTATTTTCCGTAGTTACAATTAAATCTTTATTTTTATAGGAAAAAGTCTCGACATCACTCTTTTCTGTCGTTAGTCTAAACAGACAAACGCATCTGCAAGTCAACAGTAAATTTTTTTATATTTCCTTTCTTCTTCAATTGGAGGAGGAAGGAGGTGGGGAAGGGGAAGAGGGGCCGTTGTGCCGCTTAAATTTTCTTGGCGCTCTGATCTCATCCTCTATTAATTGCATATTTCATGTCGTTTAGAGGGCTCACTTCTCCATTTTTCAAATTTACGGGCCAGTGTGAAATTTTCCGAATTTCTAATTAACTCAAACTCTATAAGTGTGATCGACAGCACAACAGTCCAAAACTGGATCCAATTTAACCTCCACTCTGCTGACAAAGCATCAGTTATGTTGCTAATTGAATCTGGCTAACTAAATGATCCCTAACCATCCTACGAAAGACCCACGTAGGACCCACATGGGTATTCCTTTCGAAAATAAGGTGCCACAGAGGGAGAGGGCGCTTATTTAATGTTTCAGGCGCAAACCCGAGTTTCTGATCTTTCGTATCACCGTACTTTTTTGTTGTATCTTTGGATACAACATCTTTGTATCTTGTATCTTGTATTTGAATTCCTCTTCCTTTATTAAAAAACTCGTATATTCGCTCACATTTTCTCAACCCAAACTACGGCAACAGTTGTAGCTTCTACGCTCAAGATGCCCTACATTAAGCGGAAATAACTCAGAACGGAATATTTAGTAGTTAGGGGAATTCACTTTCATGCCAAGTATTAAAGGATCTCATTTCAATTGAACTGACATTCCTGTCAGTTAATCCGTTGTACCATAAGCAAAATTTGCATGATTTGTGATTACACTCCGTTGGCGACGGACGGAAATACGTGTTTCATCGAGTCAATTCACTGCTATCGCCGGGAGCCATAATCGGGAAATTATGGTAAACACTCATCTGATTGTTGAACTTAGAATAGTAGGTGTTGTTGAGTAGCAGCCCCTGCAGCAACTTGGAATTTGAATTGCAATTCAGTTCCAACAAACAGGCAAGCGGTTCGACTTTCGCCCTTATGAGAAAGCAGCAGATTAAAAGAACTATTACCACTTCAATTTTTCACGCTACAGTTTTACACAAAACTTGTTTCCGCGCATTTTTAGAGGAAATTTGTTCTTTGCGACCTTTGTGGATTTTGCTGTTAAATTCAAGCTGAATTTATTATAAAGATAACTGCTCCATGTCGAAAATTCCGGCTTCAAGAAGACTCTCTGGTTTTCGCCCGTTAAGTCATATCTTTGGCCAAGTTTTCCTCAGTCTTTCAGATCTTGAGAGTGTTCACAGATTGTAGTGAAATAGATCTATACAAGTTGAAACAAAAGGAGAAAGTAGCTAAAATAGTGTATTTTCCTTGCTTATGACTTAGGTATTGTGGTTCACAGGTCAGGTTTCGGCACGAATATTACGTCGAAGGAAAAAAAAACTTGTTCAGTGGATATGAACAAACAACAAGACACACCAAAACAACAGTTGGAATTTCCTTTGTTAAAATTCACCCACTATCGGCCTTTTTTCAGTAAGTCAGTTTCCAAGGTTGTGGTAAATGATGAATGAGTCGTCAATTCTCTACGTTTTGCTTTCACCCTGAGATTGTTTCTCTCTCTAAGATCTCATGAGAAGAACCAGTTTCTTTGATTATGATTAAATGTTCCTTTTCCTGTTTTATCTCGTTTTTCAGCAATACAGGCCTTCGCAGGAAGGTAGTAGAACATAAAGGATGACTACTTTAAACGTCACGCTCTCCTTGCGTTACGCCCCATTTCTACGACATCCTTGTGAATGATAAGAAAATGCCCAGAATTTCAGATGTGCACCGTGACAGTTACACTGACTCGATCTTGAGTCTGAGTGAAGGACTGATTATCTTATTTGTGGCATCGAGTGTTCTTGTCCTTGGTGCCCTTTGTAAATATCTCGGGAAATTATGCCGTAAGCTTTGGAAAAAACCGCGATGGAAGAGGAAATCAAAAAAGAGACATTCAAAACGCGCAGAACAAAGGAAAGGAAGCGCGCCTGTCAAACGCTCCGGATCCTTTAGATCAGGAGAGGGCGTAGTTATGTCACCGCAGTTTACTATTCCATCGTCCCGCAGCTGTATGATACAGCAGCCATACCCAGATCTCTCACAAGGCAGGACTGGAAAGACTACTGCGGATAAACGCCTCTCGTAAGTAATAAATTCGGCTTTTTACTGCTAAGTCACTGGTTTACTAAAAGATAAATCATAAATTTACTAAGTAGCAGACTAGCTGTCTGATCGACTAGTTAACTAGCTGACCGCCTGAATAAGTGATTGACAGGTAGCTCGATTGCCTAACTGATTGACTGACTGACTAACCTGACTGACGAGTGGTGCGATTAACTGGCTGACTACTTGAATAATTTACTAGCTAACTGGTTGAATAACGTACTAACTGATTAATTGACTGACAAGAATGACCAACTGGCTGACTGGCTCACTAAATGAGTTACCGGCTGACTGACTGGTTGGTCACTCGACTAACCGATTGGATGACCAACGGGCTCACTGATTGGGTTGCAAGCTGACAGATCAATTAATTGACTGTCAACTGATCAACTTATTGCCTCAGTGACTGACTGAATGTTCAACTGACTGATTGACTCGTTCACCTGAATCAACCTCTCGTCCACGTTATTCCAATAAAGTGTGGTCAAAATAACACCTATTCTGTTCTTGTGTATAGGTTGGTATCTTTTTATCTCAAAGAAAAAGAAATTGGCAAACTGAATCCTCAATTGTACCAGAACTATGAGAGAACGGTGCGGATAGGCATGGACAAAGAACTTGGGCAACTAAATCTAATCCTCAAATACAAAGGGAAAACCAGAAACCTCTCTGTTACGCTTGTCAGTGGTAAAGACTTTCCACCGCGTGACTTCTCTGGTACTATCGACACTTGCGTGACAGTTTGTGTACTCCCACACCGTGAACGACGGAAGCGAACTGCAATTCATAGGCGATCTATGAACCCTCAGTACAACGAAAATTTTGTTTTCAATATTCAACTTGGTGAAGACACTCATGCACATAGCCTTCTTCTTATCACGTACTTTTACGATAGTTTTTCGCACGCCCATGTTTTAGGGCAGTGTTACGTGCCTCTCATATATTGTGACTTTTCAAGTGAAACCATTGTTTGGTGCTATCTAGACCATCCTTATGGTTCGGTGAGTGTTGTTACTCTGACGTACCAGTTTTTTTTTTCTTTTTTTTTTAATACCAGCTTAAATACTTTGTTTTATTTTGGGGTGGAAGTTTGTAACTCCAAGTTCACTTTTTACGCTTCCGTATTTGTCTGGCCTGTTTTGGAAAAACAGAGTTACATGCAGGTCGAGAACAATAATGATGTTTTTTCATTTTCTCCTTTGTTTGTCTCTATCTTCGAGTTCGTGCAAACATGGCCAAAGATCCTGTATCTCCTTGAACGACTTATTATCTGTTTGCATTCAGCCTAGATTACTGCTAAAAGTCAATTTTAATCACTAGTGTTAGCTCTAAGCAAGATTTGTACAGATCCATATTCAACGGAATGGGAGCGTGAGCACCTTTTCCGAACAGCGATAGGTTACTTGCCCTCTTCATGACAACAACAGGACAGAATAGTGGTTTTACCTTCATGTGTTTCCATGTTTCTTTTTTTTAGTACACCACCTTAGTGGGGGCATTACAGAGTCTTGTGACTTCAGAGTGTGGTGATCTGCTGCTGTCTTTGTGTTACGTCTCCAAGACCCAGACTCTCACGGTTGCCATAATGAAGGGTATGAACCTAGCAGAAGGACGGCTGTCTTCTGTTGGTAAGTTTTCACCCTTTTATCATTCGGAATGAAATGCAACTCTGATGGTAATGTAAAAAAATAGCACAAAAGAACGAAAATCGTATGGGACCAATCCTCTAAACCTCCCCCCCCCCCTCAGGTGTTCTGGATAATTATAAACGAAACGTTACTAAAATTCTTGTTAAACGATTTCAAAGTTATATACCTAGATGAAGTAAAGTGGGAGAACTATTTCTCATCCTTTTTTTAAGTTATTTTTTCGGTATTACTGCACTCTGAAGATTATTTAGTAAAAAAGATTGTTAGGGTGCAAGCTTGCATATACAAATGGTCTTCGGAGGTTTTTATTGTTTCAACGTCATTTAACACTGCTCTCTCTTTAAATTTTTTTCAGAGAAGTTATACACAAAAGCAACTCTCCTTCACGATAATCAAAAAATTGGTAAGAGGAAAACGAGTTTGCAGGAAATCGGTGATATTTACACGGTTTTTAACGAAGCTCTGTTGTTCCGTATCCCTGGAGAGAAGCTTATCAGTTGCACATTGAAAATCTCTGTCAATCATTACAACGTCATGGGTAAAAGTTCCAGCCTTGGCGAAGTCACCTTCAGCGCAGAGTCGACTGGACTCGAAGATGCGCATTGGTCAAGCGTGACCACAAAACGCGACAAACCGGTTGCGATGTGGCACACCCTTCGAGGATTTAAATTTATGGAGACTTCCAGAGAGGAAAGAGAGCCTCTCTCGCCGAATTAAACAACAGAGAAAAGATATTTAAGTTAGCTCGATTTTTGATCTCACTTCCAGTGGAAAAATTGTTTAATAAAAGCAGTTTAGAGTCTGCATATGGCTGAAAACTTTCAAGTAATGGGAATGATATTGTACCATTAAATCAAGAAACAACTACTTGTTCAGAGACTGATATAGATCTCATTGTGTAAAAGCTTCGTAGGACAGAAAGAGAAGATTTCGCCAGATTATAGAGTCCTTATTATATAGGCGGAAATAATTATTTCGAACGAGGAATCTACTTCAGGTGTTAAAGCAATTTTAACCTAGTATCATCGTTAAAAAATATGTTATGAAAAAGTTAGAAGAAAATACGAAGGGGCCGTGGATTAGAAGCTGTTTATGAAATGCAAAATTATGTTTTCAAAGGATCATGCTAGACTTTCATAGGAATCCCTTCTGTTACACAACTTCAACTCGCGGATGTTTTCAAAGGGCGATTCACCTAAATACATCAACCTAGCTCAGCACTGAAAAAGCTGATTTTGATATAATGCACTCTGACGCATTGCTTTGAGTCAAGTTGAGATAAAAAAAAATAGACTCGTTCTGTCAAAGGGAGGACTACAGTTTTGATGAGGAGGTAATAGCCTAGTCTGAAAACAGAATTGAGCTTTCGCATGTGATGTACGCTGCATGTGGAATTAACAAAAAATCAGCTTCATGGAGTGTAAAATATTTACTTCAGCCTTCCCATTTTATACGGTCACGCCAGTTTGAATAGTTTTTCGAATAAACTTCTGTTTTTTCAAATGTTCCTTTGCTTTATTATGCGATCCACATGCCTAGCATTAGTCGTTTTATCGACACATTACACCCTACTACCTGCATGCACATCTCCATACTGTTCTGTTTACATTTCCTACGGTGCTGACAAGGAGAATTTGTTTAAAAGTCGAGAGCTTCTCTAATTTGTGATTTGTTTATTCTAGTTAACCTAATGTCTGATTCAGGGGTGATGTCGTAAAGAGAAAGTAGAAGCTTATCGCTCCTTGAGTTGATGGGGGAGGATTATGAATGAGTGCGTTACACTTTTGATACCCATAACAAAGCGGGTTTTCCCCTTTGCACGTGACAAACTTTCCCATGACTCACGCATGACGGTGCCTGGAAACGAATTTTTGACGTGAAAAATTCCAATATGGCGCGCGAGAAAGCGAAACTTGCACCATTCCGGAAGTTAGATTTAATTAAAACTGTTGAATTCGACAATTCAAACAGGTCATTTACGATTTTCATCGGAGATATAACAGTGTTCATTTCATTTATCTCTCGTTACAAGAGGGACAGAGGTTAGTATAATTATCTTAAGTCATGTGATGTGTAATCTACCTGTGAAACTCACTGTCGATCTCATGACGACCGCAAGATTCCCCCTATCACTCCTCACTTCTGTAGCTGTGGTTGGGCCCAGGCATAGTGTAGTTCAAAGGCTGTGTTGTACGATATCGTAAAAACCTGACGTTACTGCATTGCCAATTCCTCATCGTAGTATCTCAAATTATTCCTCAACGCCATGAGTTTTATTCTACATAATATATGCTGTATGTATGGTATCCTAAGAGATCCCACATGATCAACTAATCACAAGATACCCACACAATATCACATGGCCTCTTGCGGTATCAGAGGATCGTAAAAATTCACTGCTGACTATAAATCATATATATCGCCATTTGGGGATTTGAAAAGGAAACACTGTAGTGGATCGGAAGGTTACTCAACCATTTACAGAGGTAAACAACGACTTTTTTTGTGGGAGGAGTTAGCTTAAGGCCTAGTGGACATACTCTACTCATGAGTCACAAATACTGAATTTATCTCTTGTCATTAAGAGAGAAAGTGAGAGAATCTCATGGCAGATGATTGTGATATAATTTAAATTTCATTTTCTGTTACAAAGCTAGGCAAGTCGTTTGCCTTCGTTCAGTCAGACTCCAAAGCATGCTATTCAATTTCCTTTTAAGATAAGGATGAGTCTTAGAATTTGACCTATTAGACTAAAAATCTGAAGATTTCATACTAGATACAAATTGCTCTGATGTAGGCACAAGTTAGAGTTTTACTTAAAACTACCCCTTTGTAAAGGAGAAGTCAAATCTGGTTAATTTTGTTGCAACTCAGTGAGGGTCATTTGGTGCAGCAACATATTAGTAATGAGATTTAACTTTGGGGTCATAATTGTCTTTCTGCAATTTCTTTTGATTCCATGGCATTTGTACCTCAGCATTGCAGAGACAGAATCAACCAAAATGAACTTATTTAAGAAAATGGCTGAGAAAGGGGGTCCTGTGCATGTTTCACACCTGTCAAAAAGTAGTAATAATGCATCACCAAAAATTGGGTAAACAAGTTTAAAGTTCACATATTGTGAAAAGCAAAAAAAAAACAGTTCACTGGGGTTTTAATTTCATATTTTCACTGGTCATGAAAATTAAAACACTTGATCCTACAACAGGCAATAACCCCTTTCCCCCATTCTAAAAATGATCTACTTTGTCCAACATAAAGAACACGCTGTGAAAGAAAAAATCTGCTAAGGGGGATCAGGGGAATCCAACCAATTATCAATTTACATCCTTTGGAAAATCTTTTACAATTGGTTGGTAACTCTTCCCATCTGTCAGTTATTAAAACAGTTACTAAAACAGTTACAGTAATACACAATTTGCTTGAGATTTTAATCAGTTGGGATGAAGCTGGGAGTAAAGCCACACAGAATGTCCTTAAGTGGGATTGATATACTTATGTATTCTCTTGGTCATGTCATCTGATTGTCCAGGTGAGAGTAGTCCTGAAAAGGAATGTTATTGGAAGCATTCACTGATGTTTCAACAACCTGACTCTGATGACAACTTTGGACCCATGCCACTCTCACCTGGACAATTAGACTACATTGTATGTACTAACTATTACATGTGGGGTCACACCAGTTCCTACATTATCTTTTCTTTACACACATTTTCTATCTTTTTTTCCTGCAATTGACACTGCTTTTCTTTCACATTTATCTTTTTTTACAGGGTTAAGTGACTAAACTGCTGTAAGTGAAGAAAATGGTGAGGTATTGGCCTGTTATAGAGCTTCTTTCATTTCTGAACTTTTTTGGAACAACTCTGTTGGACATTATCACTCAAAAGTACATCTATGGCAGTTCAGTGAAAGATCATGCAGATTTTGAGAGACCCAATTGTTGTAAAACATTGAATAATGCTACCTGTGGTGGTTTAGAAAACCCTGGCCTCATTTCAGCTGATAATGATCATTGGTTACTTTATATAAATTTAGTGTCATTTTTGGTAGCAATGCCATCAACAATAATTCTTGGAATCTGGAGTGAGACTGAAGGACGCAGAAATGTGTTGGTTGCTACCTTGATAGGCATTGCCTTACGTGCAGCTTTGTTTACCATCATTATAAAGTTTCAAGCACCGTTGTACTTTTTTGTGATTGCTAGTCTGATGACAAGTGCGGTGGGATACAACACTAGCTTCATGGCATCATGTATGGCATATACTGCCGATATTACAAGTAATGAACAAAGAACTTTGAAAATTATGTGCTTAGATTGTGCAGCAGGGATTGGAATTGGCTTGGCTTATTTTATTAGTGGGTTCTATTTGGAAAGTCAATCTTTCTATGATATCCTCTGGCTTATCATGGCTATTATGGTATTTAACATTTTATGCGTGATCTTCCTACTGGAAACAAATGTCTTTACCCACGAACTTACTCAAATCTGCAGATGCAGTGATTTTGTGGGCATTTGGAAAATTTTCAGTCATGATCCAGGAAATGGTCGAAGATGGCGCTTAGTTACATATAGTGCTGCACTATTTGTTGGTGGAGTGGTTTTTTATGGGACAAATGATCTGATTCTTTTTCATGCCCAAACATATCTTTGTTTTACTCTGATCCTGTTGGGTTTCTTATCTGGTGCTCTAGCTCTGCGATATATTGTAAGCCTGGTCTTTGTCAAGTTGTTTCAGACCATCTTAAAAATGGCCAATAACCTGATCATTGAAGCTGGTTTACTGTCCCTTTTTGCTGGTCTTATTGTGGCAGTATTTAGCAGGACAACGCGTTTTTTGTTTATTGGTAAGTGTTATAGTACTATCTATTGAATTATAAATGCATTCTGATTGGTTCTTACTTAACCTTTTAACTCCCAAGATCTGATTGTGAATTCTCCCCTCTAGCTGCTACATATTTCCTTGTCTATTGGTTATGAGAACTTGGTGCTATATCAAGATAACAGCTTCTACATGATCAGTTTGAATATTCTCATTAGCTGTTTGTTGAACAATGTGTGAATGTTATAGGGAGAAGTTTTATGTTGATCACTTCTGGAAGTTAAAAGGTTAATATCATTAATATGATAATAAATAAATATAGTTATAATAATGTTAATATGATAATAATATGATACACACTCAACTGCACCTTGTGTGTCACTTTTTTGTTCTTACCACAAATTGATGCACAGCTGTGATCTATTACTATTACTATTTGTGAGATACATAATGGTATCAATTGTGGCTAGTCTTACCTTCAAGAAAATTCTGAGTTTCTATTATGGATTCAAATGCCTGGTATTGAAGAAATGTCCAATTGTTGTGTTGAATACATTACAATCCTCTTCTTGCTTTGCTTTATGTTTAAAAGATGTTGGTTGTAACTGGTTAAAAAAATGTCATTTTTCCTTCAGTTCCTACTACATTTGATTTTTTTTATCAAAAAAATTGTAATTTGAATTTATTTATATGCATTCTCCAAATAATGATTTAAAAAGCACAATCATCAAAGGCTTAAAGTGGATTCTGGTCAGTCTTGTGCTTGATATGGTCATGACTGTACATCAGTCTATAAATATTTGTATTCACAACCTTTGGAAATAATATTCTAAAAAAAATCAAATATGAGACAAGCTATTATTTCTAAGATATAGCTCAGCACTCCAAGCTGGGACACATAACAAGCTGTAGTGTTTTATGACTGGGTGTTTATAAACATATAAATTTAAAGTGGGATAAACAATTGTACAAATGTTATGTAATACTGTTCAAAATATTGTTACGACAGCTGGAATCTTATTTCTGGGGACCATTTTAACAATTTAAGGTTGCCAATGGCAAGTTGGGCAGAAGCCCAATGTATGTATACTAGGTATGTAGTATGTGGTATAGTAGCCCAATGTATGTATTAGGTATGTCTCAGAAAGACATACCTAATTGATAATAGGGCTCACTTATGATTCAGTAGTTTCTACTGGTATACTTATTAATAAACTTTTCACTTTTTTTATCAGTTCCAGCATTTCAGTTTTTAGGTGGCATGCCATTATCAGTGATGAAAGCCAGTTTGTCTAGGCTGGTAGAACCTCAGGAACAGGGTAAGATGGAATAGAACATTTTTTGAACATGCCACTTTTTTTTTTCTTAAAATGCAAAAAAAAAAACACGTAACAAATACTTGGTATGCAATACAATATATATAGCATTAACATATAATAACAACTTCAACATAATAATACTTTTCACCAGTTATAATGTGTTACTTTAACCAAAGTAATGTGGCACATGTTACTCCTTACTACATCTATTTTGAATTCTTACAGTGTTATATTTATAAATTAATATCCTGGTATATTTATTATTTACTTACTCAGTTACTCATTTCTCTACTGTTCAATATCACTACTCACTTCAATTTTTATGAATATATAATTAGTACTCTTTTCTGATGGTTAGAGCTTTGGTTAAAAGTTTTGAAGATTATTCTCTTGTAGAGACTGAAAAGTGAACATGTACCCTTCCCTCTCTGGTAAGGGATGTAAAGACAGAACTAGAGAGAGTGGTGAAAAATACCCCACTTTTGCTGCCCAATTTAATCAAAATTAAAGCCAATAGTGTTGACCTAGTTAAAATCTTTAGGCTGTAATAAAGCTTATTCTCTGTCCACCATTTGTTAACTTTAGTTTGAGAAAGGGACTTTCCCTCTTCAATAACCACGGCCACAATTTGCTATAACTTTTACTTCTAAACAAACAACTCATATTTTTATAGGAACATTGTTTGCGGTTGCCTCATGTTTGGAGGCCTCAGCAGCCTTTCTTGGAGTTATTCTATTCAGTGAAGTTTATGATGACACAAGCAAGATATTAACTGGACTACCCTTTGTGATAGGAGCCTTGTTACTGATTGTTCCAGCTGGTCTTGTTGGGTTTGTAACACTTACCTATTTCCTCAGTTTACCTCTTGTCATTAGAAATATGATTAATTGATGAACTGATCTGTTGATTATTTTATTTGATGAAACAATAAACAGACATGCATCTGTTCAGTAATAGGCTGCAGATTATGTCAATATGTGAGAAGATCAAAAAGTGATGTCTTATGTGCTTTTTTTGTGATGATGACACAAAGAGTAGTTAATGGTGACATCATCTATGTGTCTGTTCTTCAATAGACTGAGAGTAAGGACCATTTAAAAGGTGTTCATTTTTCTGCCTATTTTGTCTCATTCAGATGGACACATGGGTAGATAGATGGTCAGATGAGTGAATTAATATTAGATAAAAATATGGTCATAATGATATGGAAAAGAGAAATGTGCAAAATTGTACATTTTTAAGATCTAGCAATATTCATGTTCAGTTGAATAAAGTTAGAATAGTTAAAAAAAAAACTTGCAAAAATTCATAACTTCAAACAAAAAAGCATACAATAGCATTTTAAAACAAAAACAACAGTACTTCTTGTTAACTAAATTTGAAAGATTTAAATGCAGTTCAGTTTTCTACCCACACACATTTAAGGCTAAGTGGTCCAAAGATTAGCAGCCATGTGAAAGTTTTGAGCTAAAAAAATGGAATGAGCCTTTAAGTGATGACAGAATTGACGAAGAATGTGAGAGTAACAGGAGAGTTCTTTGGAGTTGTTCTATCAGTTCCTTGGTTCTAGCTGAACAAGACAGCTTACTCATTTGTGTAATCCCTCTTTTGTCCATAGATTTTTGCACAAAAATGAAGATCCTACTTCAAGATATTTGTTTTTCCCAGAGGAATCAGAGTGTGACTTTGGTCACCAGTGTACAATCAGTGTCCGGTCAAAATCTGCTCCAAAAACTGTCAGTGTGCCCGTGGTATCTAATGAAGACTTTGTTGTTGTGCATCATCAAAATGAATGCCAGACCAGCAATGTGGCTACTAATGGTCGCCTAATGCCTGTATAAATTTTTGCAACTGATAAACTATTTGCACTCTGCCAAACTAACAATTTTTCTAATGGCATTGTTCATTGCTTATCCAATAACTACAGCCATGAACAAGTGGTGTGAGAAATTTTTGTCTTAGCTTTGCAGATGGTGAAAAGGTCATCTGCTTCATAGACTGTCACGTTAAACCTGATTTGAGTTGTCATTATAAATGTTATCATCTCCATTATTATTACTATTATTATCATCACTAGTATTCATATAGACCAGTCAGTATTATATCATTAGTAATATTTTATAAATACAGCATTTCGTTCCCTTGATGTGATATATTCTTTCTTTCAAGAACATGTTGTGAGTAATTATGAGATAGAAATTAACTTAAATTAAATTAAGTTATATTGTGTTCTGGGTGGCATTAGAAAGAGGCTTTGGAATAAAGTTATTTTTAGTGCTTAAATCTAAAATTTACAATAATTTCTTGAAATAATTGAACAAATGCTGAATAAAGAAAATACCAGGTATAGTATTATGTTACATTGAAAATTTAAATTATGCTTGTTACAAATGATTGAGTTTGTATCTAAATGTTCAAATCTTATTGGTGCTTAAGGGCCTCCAAACTGTCCAATTAGACCTTCCAATTAGAAACATTTGCAATTAAAAAGACTAAATCCAATATCTCAGTAGCCAATGAAATGCAACCGCAGCCTATCAAAACCAAGGAAAATTTCTCAAAGGAGCAGGTTGATAGATCCACACCGACAACAAACATGGGCAAAATTACCTGGTTCAACAATAAAATTTTAATTTGGATGTTTTCCTTAGATAAAGCAAAACTTTGAATTAAAGAAAGCTTTAGAACGATAGGAAATAGTTGTCGAGATTGAAAATACGACGAATCAAATGGGAAAGCAAGTTGTCGTGAGAGAGATACCACCAAAAAGACGAAACAAATATCTTCTGCTTTTATTCTACCACGCCCCAGCGTATTTTTCTCTGGCTTCTTGAACCTTAGCTGAATGTGTAATTTTGTGAGGTTCTATTTGCTTTCGCTCAACTGGCTTGGGCCGAAGTTTTGGAAAATATGAAAAGGTAAAAGATCTTGTAAAGGAATTGTCCAGAACTACTTTGTTGTAACTATCCCATAGCATTCGATTGCGTTCCCGCTGAATCTTAGCTTCCTCGATTCTCCTTTGTCTATCCCTGGCTTCTTTTTCTTTCCGTTCTGCTTCCATTTTTCTTATTTCTTCGAGGCGTTTCCTCTTCTCCTCTCGCTTTTGATTCCACCTCTCAGCAATTTTCCTCCTCCTTGTGTTTTCCCGTTCTTCTTGCAACTGAATGTCCATCTCTCTTTCCTTTTCTTCGGTAAAAGTCAACGCGCGCTTGACATTCGCAGCGTGTTCGTTCAAATTCCAAAATGCCAACTCTGTTATCAAATGTTTAACTTGAATTTTTTCAATTTCTAAACCACGCTTCTCTAAAATATTGTCACTTCTGGAAACAACCCGTACGCGTTTTCGTTGAGCAACACCCTTCATCTTCGCCTCTTTATGAGAAAGATCTTTCTTCTTTGAATTTATCGAAGTGTTATTTATTTTTCCCCTTTCTCGTTGCTTTTTAATTGTACCTTTATTGCACTGTGGATTTATTTCGTGAAGTCGTCGATTTTCACGTGTCTGTCTCAAAGTTTTCCTTGCATCCTTGACGATTTCTCTAAAATTGTTTCTCAAAGCGCGTTTCTTTTCTTTAATTTCTTTTTCGGTCTCTTGCGGTTTATCAGTCATACTTACTAACTCATTTTCACCGACTGATAAATCACTCAGCATGTATGGACTCGAACAGAATTTGGAATCTTCTTCACAGTCAGTGTGATCACAGAGAATGGCGAAAGGAGTTTCCACAGATGCTATGCTCGAATTGAAAAGCATCGTCGATAAACTATCCACAATAACATTTCCGCTGTTACAAATGGAACCGTCAGCACTTTTGCAACCCTCTGTACTTTTTGATTCCTCTTCTGATTCAACAAATTCGTCCTCTCGTCGGTTCACGCGCTTGAACTCACTGTCCGTGTAGTTGTGAGTACTAGAGTAGGAAGTCGAGGTTTCAGTTTCAGTTCCGGATTCAAACAATATTGATTGCCGTGATGTTCTATCGAGATTACAAGTAGCATCGCCGCAAATTGTTGGCTCGTTAAGCAACATTTCCGGTAACGTAAGAGAAGCAAGTGAACTGTTACGACTAAGGTCGATGTTTAAACTTTCCAGTCGTGATCTAGAGTGAGTCATACTTTCCGTATCTCCGTCATAATATTCTGTTAAAGCTGAAAGTTTTCTGCTAGAAGATGTCGATGCTGAACTGGACATATCGACTAAAGCCGGCTGGCGACTCAACTCCGAAGAGGTAAACTGCGACCAGTTTCCCACTGATTTGTTTTTATACTGAGCTTGAACATTTCCTAACGGCCACAGATGTTGGCATCAAAAGAAAAATTACAAAATTACAACTTTATCGCAGCCGGATCACAGGTGTAATTTCGCTGTGACAAAGGAACAGTTTCATTTTAAGAATAGGAAGGACTCACGTGTGTTGTTGAGGTTTTGTGAAAGAAGTTTGTAGGCTCCATAGCATTGCTTGTGCTTTCGTTCAATATTTTTTTTTTCTTATCCTCAAACCTTTACTGGTAGTAGTGTAGGATAAATTGATTGCTTTTATCGGTGCTGTGAACGTAACAAAGTACCCCTTTGTAATGTGAAACTTCTCTTTTGCTCAGATTCTTTATTCACTTTATAGAAGACGTGTCGATCAGTCGATGATCGCGCAAAGCTGTTCATAATTGATCAGCAAAAGCAAAACAAAACAAGATAATAAAAAGCAACCTTCTTATTTTATCCGTTTGTTATGTTTACGAGACCTGCGGTTTTTTTGGGTTTTTCTTGACAACTGCTGAGAAAATGTCGATAACTACTTAGATATCCATTATATACGAACATGTTTGATTATGATTTGAAAACAAACTTTTAGAATGAATCAACATTTTTTTTTTGTTTTTATTTTTTTTCCTCAGAGACTGAATCAGAATTTTCAGTTGAAGAACGTTATCGTAAAAATCTTATCACTTTAGGCATTGCTTGATTGCTGGACAGGCTTTATCTATATTCACGCTTACAGAATGAAGACTCCGCAACTTGGGTTATAATTTGCGCGCAGTTATGCCTTTTAATTTATTAATGAAACCGAGAACTATGGCGATTGAATGTTAAATGAATGCAGCAGCTGCTGGCAACTGATTTTCTTTAGGGAAAACATCCCAGTGTGAAAACTGAGAAGCGAGGCCTTCTATCATTGCGCCTCGCCATGAGCAAGACGGCTGCGCAGCCCTGCACAGTCGGACTGTCCTTCCCAGTCTCCCCGCCGAAAATACTTGTTGCTGAGAGAGAAGTCGCTCTTATGAGGTTTATGTCTTAAACAACAGAACTAAAACATTCCTTCCAGAAAATCGCTTCCAGAATGAATCAGATGGAACATAACTACAAGATCAAAGACTACAAGCGTTATGAAGCTCCAGGGCCGTTCATTCGAACCGGCTATCGCCTGAACTATCCGCAAAACTACCCAAACTCACAAGAAACGCGGAGAATGGAAGAACGATTCCAAACAATACAATGGCCTCGAAACAAGACGCTCGTCGGTTTGACCGACCAAGGAGATAGAATGAAGTTCACAAGAGATCAACAGATAAGCGTATTGACAAATCAAAGCGAAATGATTGCTGATGTGCAACATCAAAGACAGGTTCTTCTCGATACAGTCAAACGAAACATTCATGTTGCTAGGGACGAATTTGCTCGGGATGTTTACGTTGGCAGACCCGGTGTTCGCGATATGTTACGAGGCACTCAGCCGCTCTACAAGGTGATCAACAATGGGACACTCTATGGTTAAGGATTTATTTGTGAATTTTATGCTTTATTCATAATTTTTGACATCTTATGGCATTTTTTCTTTTATATTTAAGTATTGCATCGAACAATGCGAATTTTTAAGAATTTTTACAGTTTGTCTATTATTTGTTTCGGTGAGGTACATGGGGTAGACTCGCTCTGTTGTTTAAAACGCCTTTTTGATATACGATGAAAATGTAGAAAGCTAGTTTAGATATCAACTTTTAAGCTTGAATTAAAATTCTGAATATTTGAACTCGTTATTTCCATGAAATATTATTGACTGAAAATATTGTGTGGATAATGATACTTTATTACAATTATGGTGGCATTTTGTATTTTTTCTTCCACAAAATCAGCCGTTAGATTTTTATGTGTTAAAGATATAGTTTTATTTTGCCTCAGTTTCCATTTCAGTGAGAAGGTTTTCCCACTTACCAAGGAATTATTTTGTATTTTTAATCTACCACATACATGCAATAATGGTTGGTGTGGTGAACATTTAAGCAAGATTTTTCACCTTATAATTATCGTCAATATGGTGTTGCCCATAATGTACTTAAGTTGCAAACCAGTAGTGGCCAAATCATCCCTCCAAGGGATGACTCACCTGAAGCAAGCATTCCATTTACGTATGAAATATAGCCATTTATCACATGTCTCTCTGCCAGACTACAGAGTAAGGCAGAACTCAATGAGATCTCCTGCCTGTAAATGGGAAACTTAAAGTAAGAAAGGGAAAATTGAGTGAAAATCCACCATACTCTGCAGAAAGGTCTCTGAATGATAGCAATCTTCGCAATTAACACTACTTAAAAAGAAGTGAAAATAAGACCTGAAAAAAACTCAGGCCTGTACGGGATTTGAACCAATGACCTCTGCAATACCCATGCAGTGCTCTACCAGACAGGTCTCTGTTGATTAATTATCATGGGCAACACATCATATTTATCATGAAACATATTCTTTGCAGTTAGTGTTGGTCATTAATCTTTTTACTGGTAGATCACTGATGGGTACAGTGCATTCAGTGTTTTGCCATAACAAATAGCTGCTTTGTGGGAAATGAACCATGGCCTTCCCTCACTCAAGAAGAGAGCACTTCTCTTTTGGAAGGAACCAAAAGCACAATCTAAAAAGTAGTGGAATCAAACATAATAAAAATTCGGAGGATTTTTAAAATCTGACCCAGCAAATGCTAGAATTATGTATGACCTCCAGTTATTTATGGTGTTAAGCATTTAGCACCTGGTATTTATTTATAAACTTCTTTGAGTCAGTGAATGTTGGCTTATAATTATTTTTTTGGGTGTGTGTTAGAAACTCCCACTTCTTTTCACTGCTCTGCTGCCTCCTGCACCCTTGACTCCTGTT